CAGCCATGGAAACAAAGCAGAGCTCAACAATTCACCAAAATAACAAAGTTGTACATTCTTTACTGTATGTCAAAATCCTTTAGTATGGGTGCATGAAATGGGATATTCCCCCGGAACCTTGACACTCAGCCACAATCATGATTAAATAAAGGATCTCTGTGGGTTAAAGGTCATAAAGACCAACACTGAGATTAAACAACATTTTAATAGTAAATATGCATATGTGATCATATCCTAAGCTAGAGTAAAGTTGTATTAAACCCCCAATGTTTTTAGCTTAACACATGGAGTGCAGTAAAATTAACATTACCCAATAAAACATTTATTCTTACCCCAGCACTCGCACTTTACACATTGCAATGCTGCTGCCTCCTGCGCTCTCGGTGCTGCTTCCCTTAAGGTGTTACTAAACCCAGGACCCTGCATTCACTATATCTGGTCTCCCACAGTACACAGAGCATGATAATGCAATTATTTTAGCAAATATAAATTGCTAAATACCCTTTCTCATCAGCAGTTACAGCAATCTTGTGACTTCTATCAGTGTCCAACAGAGCACTGGTTAAAGCTTGTAGGAGGAGTTTTCTTTCTGCTGTAGGAGGATGCAAAACTCCTGACCTCTGTCTGGACATTGCTGATTGGCCCTGTGCTGATCACATGCACTCTCCCAAGAAAAAAAAAAAACCCCTCTCTAGCAATACACACTAAACTGAGCATGTGCAGAAGGGCTACGGGTTCAGTCTGTCTTATCAGCGTGGACATTTGAACAAGAGGAGGGGCAGTGAAGACAGGATCAAACAGCCGTTTTATACAATGCAGAGGATTACCCTTTAGGTTCCACAGTGAGTATAACAAGCATGATTTATTGCATATACAGACTGATTTTACGGTTGTGGGTTTAGTATCACTACTGGTCTTCAAAGTAAAAAAATAAATAAAATAAATAAATAAAAAAAGGACAGTGCATTCTCCAGTCAATCTGTTAACTTGGACAAGGGAGGGGCAGGAGTAGGGGAGCGCCTTGCCACCCAATGCTATAGGGCTGTGTGTTTGTATAGATGCACACAGTGCAGGGAGACAGTTCTAGTACTTGCATGCTCCATAGGATATTGCAAGAGAAAGTAGCCACCCTGAAACAGGAAGCCTGGGTCAGCGGCCATGGCATCAGCTTACACTGATGCATGGGCAAGGATTAAAAGATAAAGAAGATGCATACTCAGTAACTCATTAAATCAGCGGCTGAAGTGCTTAAAACTGATGGTTTGATGGTTTAATTAATCACTTTAATTATGTTTTAATATTAATTCCACATTGGGAAAGCAGGAGCAAGGCATAACCAACCAACCAACATTCACTGCTTATTTAGGTTATCAGCATATCCTAAGGCTAATGTCTGATAAATTCTGCCACTAGCTCCAATCACCGGCATCAGAGTGCCTTCCAATTACCTCTATGGAAACACTCTAGTTGGTGCCAAACCTTGGTATCAAGTTATGGTAGTGACTTCTTTTTGATTTAGATATCATGGGAACAATTCCATAGGGACAGACAAGCAACTGGTGATTTGCTGCTAATGACAGAACTGCTCATCTAACATTAGCCCAAAAATCACAGTTTTGACAGTAATCCATTCATAAAATAGCATTGTATAAAAAAGAAAAAAAACACAAACAGTCACTTTGTGAACCTTGCATCTTAAGGCAGACAGAGTAGAAGTGCAAAACAGGGGTAAAAGTGCAAAACAGGGGTAAAAGAAGAAAAACCCTATAAACTTTTACTTTCATACGGAGGACACAAAATCACTGCAGCAATTAAAGTGGTAATAAACGTAATTTTATAAAAGTTGCTGCCAAGCAGGGTATTTATGACAGAAGAGAACCTAATGGTCTCTAATGTAATAAATGCTTCCTCCTGCCTGTCAGCTATCATGTACACTGAGCAGTGACATTTCATAGGACTTCAAGTGAACACCTTTTTAATTCCATAAGTTTTATTAAAGAAAGGCGTAATGGCAGGTACAGCAGTGTATGTTGTGGTATTTCCATAGACCGCTACAATAACGTTAGACACCAAATCCTTATAATAATATAGTTCTGTGTGGTTGGAAATCCAACTGGAATGGCCTAACTTTCTATTACAGGAACGGTCCTGATTCACACACAATGAAACCACTTCCCCAAATCTATCAGATGTCACTGCATGAAGAAACACCATCAATGGCTTCATAAGGTTCCAAATAAAGGAAGTTGATGTCACTTGGGCTCATTTCACAAAGAAAAATGACATTTCTGCTGTAACAAAGCAATACTCTGAGAAATGCTGGAGGATGATACAGCATAAAAATCTGACATGACATACATTGCATTCAACAAAAATCTAACAGGAAACTTACCAGGTACACATGGTCAAAGATTTCAGTTGGGCTATCCATCTGTCCTAAGATGACAATCATCTCGTTGTCGATAAACTCTTTGAATTCCCTCAGGTTACACACCATTTGCATTTCAAGCTCTGTCCGGATCTAGTAGGAAGAAAAGCATGGTCATTTTTTTTTTTTTAAAGCAAAGCTTAAACCGTATAATCTTCCTCATCAGTTTTTAATCAGCGAGCGATTAAAATGAATGCAAAGCATTTTTGATTGGATGAGGTGGAGAGATGACGTCTCACCCTCCACCTCATCAAAAAAAAAGATTGCTTGGCATTCATTGAAAGATGCAAAGCATTCTCTGAATGGCGGCTGTGTTGAGCAGCTGACATCTTGTATCAGGCCGGCCACTCAGTACGGGGCTCAGAAGCAAGTGAAGATCACTGGACTAGCAGCGTCTAATACAGTTATACCCAGCTTCCAGGGGCATCAACCAGTATGGTATATACACAGTCATTGGCTCCTGCTGCTGTTAATCAAATGCTGTGAGTAGGGAGGGGGCAAGGGCAAGCCGTGCTGTGTGTGCGCCTTTGGACACACACAGCCTGGCTTGGGAGTATGCTTGCCTGAGTGCCCCACAGCAGCCTGCTTGCTATGGTGGAACTTAGAGAATAGGAAGAGCTGACAGTGCCAGCAGAGGGACACCAGAAGCAGCAGTAAGGCACCTCTCTGTGCAAAACATATTACCCAGAGCAGGTGAGTATAACATCTTTACCATTTTTGGGAAAGAAAAATTAAGGTTTACAACCGTTTTAAGGCTAGGTTCACACTATTGTGGGTGGTGCAGCTTGCATTTGCTGGAGCACATCATTCATTTGAATGGGTCATTGTAGCTGTGGGAAAAGCAGGGAAATGTCCCTGACCCTTATATGAAAAACATGGCCGCACAGAATCACATGGCAGCTTGCGGTTTGTACATCTGAAACCACACTTCCTTTTCCGGGGGTGCCAACAACAATGCCACTCCTGCGTGTCTGCTGAAGAGCAGCGCAATTGCATGCGGGTTGGAAGCGTGTGCGATTTCCACACATTCCCGGACCTGCAATAATGTGAACCTAGCCCTAAAGTTGCCTGATCTATAAATTAAATTATGTGCAATGTTTGTAACTTCTGATACAATGTCATCAGTTAACACTTCCAACCAATTTTGTACAGACTGCAGCTATATAAATCTGTTCACATACTCATGGTGCTGTAATCCATTTGCATGATATTAGCAGGTGAGAGCTATACATATACCACTATGCTTGTTAACAAGATCCCACATGAAGGTTCTTTACCAGCACCCCACCACTCCTCAAGAGCAGCAGTAAGACTTGTCAAGTTCCAGTTTTAAGTGGGCACCTTGTCCATTTGTAGGAATGGAAAGAATTAGAAATATCTAATAGAATGGTCTTCATTCCGACAGACAAAAACAAAACATTCCTGTCTTGCTCACCTCTTTAGATGTAATATTTTCCAGATCTTTTTGCATCATGATTTCTCTTAACTTAATTTTAATTAGGCGTTCTGTGCGTTCTCGCTCTGTCGGTCTGTAAAGACAAAATGACAGCAGTTAACTCCCTGCATGTTTGGAGATGTGTTATCACAGAGACAGGTGGTACGAGGTGTGCATTCCCCATGTTATGTGAACACTGCATGATTCACACAGCAGCCCTCAATGTTTTCATGGCTGCTTCAGAATGGGACATGTGTCCCTGATACCTTTCCCGGGTCACTATCATCCAAATCCATTTATGGCTTTGAAAAGAAGCTAATCGTCCTTGCATTCCTCTAACCTTGATTCCTGAGGCCTTATCACCCACTGCAAAAATAGCTCAACTACTCAGCAGGGGAAGAGGAACATCAATGCTGGGACACCATCTCTGATCAGGAAATTCAACAAGCCCAATAAATAATCGGCAGGTTCTACCAAGGAGTGCCAATTCTTCACATTGCTTTAAAAAAAACAAAAAAAAAAAAAAAAAAAAAAACACTTTTTTTTTTTTTTCTTCAATTCAGTATGAACTGCTAAAATCACCAATGTACATGCAAATGTGATGTGAAAAGCAAGGTCATATTCACATTCCTGAGAAGTGTTTCACCATCATATAGAAATGCTTTCATTGAAAATTCTAAGAGCGAGACCTACTCCTGTAGCCAACAAAGCTCAAAGACGATAAACTTTGATAGGATGAGCAACGGAAAAAAACTTTTGGAAGAGTGACGCGTTTTCTTTCTCATTATCCAGAGAAAACGTGGGCAGCACAGTGGCTAAATGTTTAGCACTTCTGCCTGGCAGTACTAGGGTCATTGGTCCAAATCCCAACCACAGCACCACCTGCCTGGAGTTTGCATGTTCTCCCTGTGCCTGCGTGGGTTTCCTCCTGGTACTCCGGATTCCTCCCACACTCCAGACATGCTGGTAGGTGAATTGGCTCCTATCTAAATTGGCCCTAATATGTGTATGTATGAATGTAAGTTAGGGACCTTAGATTGTACGCCCCTTGAGGGTTAGGGACTGATGCGACTGTACAATATATATGTAAAACGCTGCGTAAATTGACGGCACTATACAGGTACCTGAAATAAATAAAAAATATCATATTGGCTAGGGTCCTCTAGCTAGATTACGTGGGTTTTAAACAACAAAGATCTGAGCAAAAGATGCAGCTTGGGAAGATGGGCAGTTGAAGCAAGCTTTCAGATGCGCTTGCATTTAAAATGGTTCTATGGATTACATTCTTCTGAGCAGCTTTTGCAGTTTCACCAACTTATATAAAGAAAAAAAGAATTCACAGCAAATACCCATGTACACAAGGATTGTGGCTGATACAGGCAGGTGCTGGTAGCACTGTGTCTGATTTAATAGACTTCAGCTAAAAGACAAATGTCCTTACAGTGAAACTCTATGGCAAGTACCTCCGCAAAGCATCATCTCATACATGTGGAAAATGCTATTTTGTGCATTTCTGTGGATAGCTCTGTAGCCCTTTCAAATTGGCTAGAAAAGCATCTAACATGACCGGACCACTGAGCTCACATCACCCTGGTAAAACATTTAAACAGTTTTGTACTTTAATGTGCAGATATCAGTCACAAGTCTGACCTCAGCCATACTTGATTTGACTTTTGCATTGTAATTTTGTAATTTTTTTCCACTTTTCAGGAGAAAAGAACACTGAAGAGAAAGGAGAATGAAGTGGTTTTAGCTTTTGAGATTCAGTGTGTGTCTAAATCCAGATAATAATGGCAGGTAACTTACACATCAGTGAAAAGCACAGGAGAATCAGAGCGATGGGACTGCACATCCTGCATAGCATTCCATTCGTTGATTGAAGTCTGGTCAGAGTTGATGTGACTCTCGTAATAACTAACCCATGTTAGGAAAAGGCTGCCTGGGTAGTAGTTGTTGGCACGGGCTACCTCGCAGGCTTTGTGCAAGCTTTGCAGTGCAGACCTGAGGAATAACAAGTTTACGTGAGTGGAACATCAACAGGAACTTCATGTTGTATAACCTTTGGTGCCCACAGCTTACTTACCACATGGCTTGAACAGACACTGGCTTGAAAATGTGAACCCTGTTATCTGTTGACACACTGAACCCCCTAGGAAAAGCAAAGGGAAATCATTTATCCTCTTCCAAGAAAAAAAATAAAAGTCATCACAAAATGCTGATTCAAAGCAAAAACATCAATCTGCTTTACCCTGAATGTACATTATGGATAGAGTTTAAGTCTTTCTATATTCTGATAATAGCTTCACGTCCCCAAAAGAAGAAAAAGGTGAGCAAGAGATGAATTTCGTTTCACTGAAACAATACCAATATTCAGAAATGAACCCTTAACTTACAGAAACGTGATCATCTCTTGTCTGTGACCAGGGGTTGGCAGGCAGTGATGACTATATACAAAGCCATCCATACACTACCAATGCCTCCAGCAAGACTGACAGCAGTGACAGCTAAAGTATGGCTGGCCATACACAAGTCATTTTTTTTACTCAATTCCTCCCCCATCCACAAACTATGTGGTTGGGGGAAACCACTCCATTGAATTATTGTATTCTGACAGCGGTAAGACTTCCCTTCCATCAGAATACACTGATCGGCGCCACAAACTATATAGCTAGCTATAGCCGGCAGGGATGATCGAGAGAAAATTCTATAACAGGTTGTTTGTACACAAGGTGATTGACAGCTTGCCTTGTGTACAACCAGCTTGCGCATACATGAATTGTAATTTGGCCGATCCCTGCTATACCAGAAAAATGTCAGTCTGAGTATAGTTACAATTACAAGCTTTTTTTTTTCTTTTTCAAACATTACATTGAAAACAAAATGTTTTCAAAGATGAGTACCCTATGATTCTTAATCTGCCAGTTGGCATAAGCAGCAAAACAGGGCAAGACACCATTGCATGATGGGAGTACAGGCTGTGTTACCTGCCTCGAACCTGTCCAGCTATGAAAAGCCAAGAAGCAGTGGCCACAGAGGAGCTAATTTTGGGAACAGGGATTCAAAACATGGAGCCTACAAACATTTTGTACATTTGTTGGGGTAATCCATTGTAGTATGTTTCATGCCTAAAGTTTATCTATAGAAGGATTATTTATGCATGAACAGCTGAATAAGCAGAACTGGCTTCAAAGACGCCATAGTACAATGCTATGAAAATGTATTTTCAACAACAACTAAAAATCAAAATCAAAAAGTGCCCGGGGGAATAAAAGGACCCTGGCTTAGGAAGCATATGCAATGAATTAACGCGGTGTTGCTTATTCAGCTATGTTCCAGTGCTCTGAGAGACATGGGTACAGTTAAGTGTCATCTGGAACCGTGTATGTGGGACAGACTAGGATACAGTAAAAGGTCACTTAAGGAATTGGCGAGCGAGGAGTGACATTATCGGGAGTGAAGAGACAAGACGGTCACACTGCTTAACCAATGTAATAAAAACTATAATAAGAAAGCGTTGTTACTTAACATGTTTTTAAAGAAAAGTGTCTTAAATCATATTATTTCTTACCCATCGCCATCCAAATGAATAAGAGTGTCACTCCAGAGAGGAAGAACAAGCCCCATCGTACAGGAACTGCTAAAATCCAAGAAAAAATAAAAACAGGTTATGTACTGAGAGAAATAGAACACTGTATATGCTACTTTCTATAGCTCAACTGAGCAAAGTTATGAAAAGATATGTAATAGGTGGTCATTATATGCCTGGGGAAATGGAATAGTGACCAAGACAAAGCATTGAAGTAAAAAATATCACTGGCTCCAAAATATTACATTCCCATAGTGAATAGTGAAAGAAACAGAACAATTACACCCAATAAGTATTGGCAGTTGTGCAGGACACAGATTAACAAAGTCAAATAACATTCTGATCTATGGATTAGTGAACATGAGCTTCTGGAACAGTTTAAGTGCACACCTTTTCATTATGTTCAATATAAATTCAAATGCTGCATATCAATATCTGTTAAAACAGCTTTATAAAGCAATGATTGGAAGTTAGCCGCCAATGCAGAGCAGCGCTTTCTTACTGCGTGGCTGGGTCCTTTCTACAGATTTGGTTATTATTATATAGGATTTATATAGCGCCAACAGTTTACACAGCGCTTTACAATATAAAAAGGGGGACAGTACAATTACAATACAGTCCAATACAGAAGGAACAAGATGGCCCTCCTCATGGATCTTACAATCTAAAGCAGGGGTTAAAATTTAGAGTCCAGACCTACTAGCCGATCACAAAACTTACTCTCCACCAGTTGCCCCACCCAACCATGACCAGGTCTGCCCCACACCACACCCCAACCCCGCCCCCTTAAAGCTTATGAAATTAAATTTTTCTTTAGAATAGTCCAAAATATAAAACTGTACACAGTAATGTATATCCCAGCTCCCCTGTACTCCATTATAGTGATATGACATGTATACAGTAATGTATATCCCCCCTCCCCTGTACTCCATTATAGTGATATGACATGTATACAGTAATGTATATCCCAGCTCCCCTGTACCCCATTATAGTGATATGACATGTATACAGTAATGTATATCCCAGCTCCCCTGTACTCCATTATAGTGATATGACATGTATACAGTAATGTATATCCCCCCTCCCCTGTACTCCATTATAGTGATATGACATGTATACAGTAATGTATATCCCAGCTCCCCTGTACTCAATTATAGTGATATGACATGTATACAGTAATGTATATCCCCCCTCCCCTGTACTCCATTATAGTGATATGACATGTATACAGTAATGTATATCCCAGCTCCCCTGTACTCAATTATAGTGATATGACATGTATACAGTAATGTATATCCCCCCTCCCCTGTACTCCATTATAGTGATATGACATGTATACAGTAATGTATATCCCAGCTCCCCTGTACTCCATTATAGTGATATGACATGTATACATTAATGTATATCCCAGCTCCCCTGTACTCCATTATAGTGATATGACATGTATACAGTAATGTATATCCCAGCTCCCCTGTACTCCATTATAGTGATATGACATGTATACAGTAATGTATATCCCAGCTCCCCTGTACTCAATTATAGTGATATGACATGTATACAGTAATCATTACTGTATACATGTCATATCACTATAATGGAGTACAGGGGAGCTGATGTATACATTACTGTATACATGTCATATCACTATAATGGAGTACAGGGGAGCTGGGATATACATTACTGTATACATGTCATATCACTATAATGGAGTACAGGGGAGCTGGGATATACATACTGTATACATGTCATATCACTATAATGGAGTACAGGGGAGGGGGGATATACATTACTGTGTACATGTCATATCACTATAATGGAGTACAGGGGAGCTGGGATATACATTACTGAGTATATAGTGATATGACATGTTGTATACAGTACTTACTGTCCCCCGAGTCCCCCGCGGCGGTGGAGAGGGTGTCTCCTCTCAGCGGAGGAGAGCGGACCTCTTCTGTACCTGTCCCCTCGGCAGTGGTGCCACAGAAGCCGGAAACCGGAACTCGGTTTCACAATGAGGCTTGGAGCACAGGTGCAGTCGCTCCATGCTTCATCTGTGCTCACCGCTCGCCACAGAGGAATTTCTCCTCTCATTTGGCGAGCGGCTTTTTCAAGCCCTGATCTAAAGGATTCATCTGCTGACCATACGATAACCATTTTGCCGCAGTGGAAGTCTCCCATGTGAGCTGGTTGCAGAGATTTTCATCTGCAGTCAGTTTTTTGGTGGACTTGCACTCCTGAGGTCTGGTGTGTACCCTTTCCATCAATATGTGCAAGCAGGAACTAAGAACTTGTGACCAGGTACATAGCTAAAAATATCCTTTTAACCCAGTTATGTATACAGTAAAAGATTATTAAATCCATTTTAAATGTTAAACCATTTTACGAGGAACTAGCATAAGGTATGTAAATCTGACTTGCTAAACACCTGCATTCTTCTTCATAATGGCGATCAGAGTGGAAGAGTTAAACTAGCTACAGATAGTGAATTTTGGGAAATATGTGGCCCTGCAAGCACCAACCGGCTCCACAAAAATCATTTTAAAAATTGATTGAACCAGGTACAAAATTGTTGGTTGAACACTGACTGTCCTATCAGATGCAGTCACTGTTTAGGTATTCCGGCAAGTCACGGCTGCCTCAGATGACTGAATACAATAGTTGGCAGGTAGAGATTTCTCCATCCACACTGTTACCGTGGAAGGAGAACAGTTTGATTTCACTCATTCAGCTCACTGGGCTGAATCAGCGAAATGAAGCAGTGTATGGCTAGCCAGAGCGGTCAGTATTTTGCCACTCGCTGTCTACGGTTTACAAAGAAAATGCTTGTATAGAGGGGTGACCCCATCAAAGTTCTTTACAGTCCAATCACAAGCTGTGTGGATTCTAGTCAGGGTGTATTGATTAAAGCAGAACTTCACTATCTCAATCAACGCTGACTATTTTGTAATCCTTATGGTTAGCATTAGTAAATATATCGGAAAATATATTAATTTACTTGTTTTAAACTTTATTTTACATTTCTTTGAGTTACTTTCGGCATTCCGTGCCTAGGCAAATGATATCATACATCCCAGGAGTCTTTAGGAGGGGTTTTCTCAGCTAAGCACACCCTCCTGCCTGCATGTGTGAGCTAAGGGCAGATGGATTCCAGGAAGCAAATGCTACATGACTAATCTGCCCTTACTCAAGATGGCACCAGCCACAAATACTAGGAGGGTTTTTTTGAAGTGATTTCTCATCAAAATAAAGCATGGAGACATGGATGGATGGGGTAGTTTGCTTTGAAATAACATTTTTGGTTTGTGATGCTCAGATGCAGTGTAGTTCCACTTTAACTGCAAAGTTACCTGTACAGAGATCCAAAAATGGTTTCATCTGGGTGAACCTGGATCGCGTTTCTTCTGAAAATGCAATTTGTCTGGCTGTTATATTGATCAGAACAAGTAACCAAAAGTAATATCATCAAAAGGGTCGCGCCAGCCAAACAATTAGCTTTATCAGAAGAGGTCAGCAATGGCTACCTCATAATTTCTCTATTGACAGGTTTACTTTAACTTCATGCAGTGAAAACATGAGGCATTACAGAAAAGAGACGTGAACTGTCTGATTGCTCTGGGCTAGGCTGGCCGAAATTGAACAAAAATTTCAAATCGTTCATTTTTCGCATCATCAGTGTGCCAGCAGTGAAATGCATTTTTCGTGCTGCAATCAAAAGTACCTGGTCCAACATGACAGATCTTTATTAGAAAAACTAAACAATTGGTAGCACAAACCTATGAGACATTTTTGTTTTTAGCTCGACAGAACTTTTGGATTGCGACTCATCTATGGCCTGCCTTACTGCACCCAGTCCATTGCTTACCAAGGAGTGTGTGATAATTGCATAAGGATCCCACATTTTTAAATCTCTTCTATATCCAAATCTCTTCTGTACAACTCTGCAAAGTTTTATTTGAATACCATTAACCAATATGACCCAGCCACTGCTTTCACCGTAATCTGCACCTCGCTGACCTGAAGAAGTCATTGACAAGTCGTGCGCCCTGCAAATGTGATGAGTATATGGAAAAAGAACAAGGCATATCATGGTGAGAGGGATATTTTTAGTGAGAACTGATTAAGGAAGCCTAGCAACCCACCTAGAAACTTGTCATAAATATTGAGGTCCGTAAGCCTGCGAAACTTGACCTGTAGATCTAAAAACAGCTTGGCCACTCTCGGCTCAAGGAATCTACCATCACAAATAATGCACATCACCTATGCTTAGTATCCACTATTAAAGAAGTACAAGTCAGACTGAATGCAAGCTGACACTAGCATATGGAATTTTTTTTAATTGAAACCAAGTCTACAGAGCAAGAAGTTACTTTGGAGGGCCACAAAAAAAACAAAACAAAAAAAAAAAAAAAAAAAACACACACAACCCCAATTTAGCACACAGTTCAGCTGTACAGCACGTCACGAATGGCAAGCTGATACATGGCTATTATTCTTTTGCTGCCCCACAGAAGACTTGGGCCTACTGATTGCTATAAGCAACGGCTCTAAATTTCCTTGACCCAGAAAGAACACTGCAATAAAAGCTTGGCCCTAAGCAGTTTTTATAAGAATTACTCCTATAATTATTATTATTGAGTGGAGAAGGGCAAGAGCCTCTGTCACATTTTCATTTGTCTGTGCACACAAAGGGGAAATTTTCATCTCGGCTGGATTCACACCTGGGGAGGTTTTCCCTTATTTCAAGTCCTGGTGCCATACCAAAAAGAATGAGAAATGTTCTAAATGGGGACACAGACCATGGTATAACAAGGACTCCCAACACCCCCATTTTTTTGTTGCTAGATTTGGGTTTAACAAACAAATGCAAAAACAGCAAATCCAGCCACTACAGGCTGCATGCAGAGAACTACAGGAAAGGGTGGAGACAAGACCAGTCACTCTGCACAAGAAGATAGCAGCAGTGACCGGTCTTTATTATAGGAAGCCCCTGCAAAGGGGTAAAGTTTCACACTGAATTACAGCACAGAGCTGAAAGAAATATACAAACCACA